ACGACACACCCTGCTGGGAACACCCTGTGTCAAGGCACTCAACCCCCAATGGCCGCTGAGAGATATGGAGATGGCTGGGAGAGAGGGCAAGTCTCCAGTTCGTCCACGGRAACTCACACAGTGCAGCAGCCTGACGCCCCTCCATTCGAACGCCGGYCGAAATTCGAAAATCGGMRGGGAGGCCGACTCCCCRTTGGGACCACCGCGCGTCGCCRCACAGTCCCCAACGAATCTCGTGCGACAGACCACGATGGCCGCCTGTGTGTTCCCGGGACTGGCCATTCGGTCCACTGGATGCCTGACGGACAAACGGGCCTTCCGAGGCCGTTCGCGACGGAAGGCCTCCAAGGGACCTACCATGTAAAGTTGGCACAAAATTTCGGAAATTGAGCTGCCACGTCCCCTTTCCTGACAAAAAAAAGATGTGGAAACGCCCATCCGATTCTTTCCAGGCCGCTTCCTACGCCCTGTGGGGTGAAAAACCACTCGGCGGCAATCCGTCCGCCTTTCCGCGAGCGTCCGCGAGCCTGTGGTGTCCAGACCTACGTGTGTTGTGAATGAGGACCAACAGGCTGTGCTCTTCAATGGCAGGGACGGAATCTGCCGCCACGCAGGAAGAAGGCGGGAAAACCTGCTCATGCCGAGGCAGAGGTTCGAACGCCGGGAAAAACACGCTGGTCTTCACTGGCATGGGCGAGGTTCGCCTCTACGTAGGTTGAAGGCCGGAAATGGGAGCTCGCGCTGATGTTCCGCAACAAACGCTGAAATTGTGGTAGGCGAGGTCCGGTTACAGCTTCGGCACTCAAGTACAGGTTCGGCACTCAGGTAGAGGTTGGAAAGGCGGGCACCCAGGCTGCGGCTCAAAAGCAGGCCACCGACGCAGAGGCTCGAAAGGACTTGGGAGAACCAGGGCGAAAACTCGTTTCGGCGTTTCCCACGGTACAGGCCTCCCCTGGTCTAACGTGGGCGTCCGCGATGCGAGCGCCTCCTGCTCACGTTCCCTCTGGTTCAATCCATGTATGATGCTGCGGTCCAGTCGAGAACCTACGGACTGGTCGTGGCATGGCAGAGACGTTGTCGTCATCGTCGTCGTCGTCATCGTCATCGGCAGGAGAGCAGTAGTGGGGTGAAGGCGGCAAGGCGGCATCCGACAGTGCGCGTGCTGCCCTTCCGCGGTGCTCCGGAGGACGGCCACGTCGGCAATCTGTGGCGTTGGTTGCACCGGTGAACGGCATTCCCGATGCTAGCCTACGGGGGCGCTCTCTCTCAGCGGCGCCTCTGCGCAAGTGGGCTGTTCCTCCGCCGAGCTTACCCATCATGGCTGCAATCTGGGTCGCGATCGGAAGCTGCCGGAGTCGGGATTGGGGCCGCGCGGTTGAAGGGGGTTGTTAGAGATAGGAGTAGCGCGCTGTGGACCCGTGTGCTGTCTTCCAATAGGACGGATGACTCGGGCGTAGGGGATAGCCCCTCTCCGGATGGTGGCGAAGGGGCACCGGGGGGTCCTGTACCGACCGCTGGGCACGGGGGGGGGGGGGGGGGGGGGGGGGCCGGGGCGCACGTGACAGGGGTAGAGGTAACTTCAGATGCAGGGAAGGGAGGTGACGATGGTATCGGCGCTGAAGACGTCAGTGGAGGAGGAAGCGTTGGGTCGGGGGCAGGGGGGGGTAAGGGTAGGAGGAAAGGAGGGGTTTTTGGCAAATGGTGGAGGGGGTCGCAGGGGGGGACCGGAGGTAGAAAGGAAGATCAGAGACACGAGGTGGCGGCTATGGCGGTATCAGAATCAGACGGCTACTCAACGGGATCATCTTCGTCTGGGGAGGGATCAGGCGATGGGGATACCGATGGCGGGAATTCATCGGACGACACGCGGCACAGCTCAGGAGGAGAAGAGGACGCGCCGTCGGATAGCATGGCGGCAATTGTCCCCGCCGGACCGCGGCCAGAGAACTTCCCGAAGGTCAGACCCACTCTGCTAATGACGTGTCCTTGTTGCCAGCTCAGCCCGCCATATCCCATGCTTGCTCCCACAGTCGTTGCGTGCGTGCACTGCCAACCACTTGCCTGCTGCCGATTATCATTCTGCCGCCATTCAGCCGACCGGCCGTTAGATTTGAATTGGACGGTCAAATTTATCCGATCGACGACCAATCGACCAACCGATCAATCGATCGGTAGATCCGTCGAGCGACTAATCAATCAGCCAATCAATCCATAGATCAATCGATCGATCAATCTATCGTCGATTAGTCATTTGATCAATTAGTCAATCCATCATCATCTATTCAATCAATCAGCAGAGGTCACGTGGATGGCGTGTTCTTTACTCGTGTGACGAATGAAACGTCAGTGAGCTGATCAAATGGATTACCAGCGAGTATCAGCGACTTTCGAATGAGCAAGTGGTGATGTAGTCATAAGAAACCATTTGGGCAGCGGATCGTAGTGCTCCTGGAAAAGCGTATTGGAATTATGACTGGACCAACCTGCTGTTATAATACCATAGACATCTAAAGACGAAATAGCAGACGTCACGTGGCTGACGTGTTCTTTGTTTGTGTGCCGCGTGAAACATCAGTGGGCTGATCAATGAAGTATCAGTGAGTATTCTGCGACTTAACGGACGAGCAATCGGTGACGTAGCCATGAAGTATCGGCAAACGATCAGTGAGAGAGCGGCATGCAACGACTAAGCATCTATGATGTCGATGAACCATCGTGTATGAGTTTGAAATGTCTTATGATGATCAATAGCTAATCACGTTAACGGATTATTTACAAATGGTCAGGAAAGGAGAGGGGTGGAACGGGTGGACACAGCAATTAGTCATCAGTCGTTATAGTGACAGTTCCTCAGGCGACCGATGCTTCATCCAGCAATCCATTTATTTATACTCGTCAATTATGGATTGTTTTTGTCATCAATATGCTTGTCGCAACACCTACGTGCTACGCTGGCGGTAAGCGCGTTCGTCTGCCTATCTGTACCCCAGCCTTTCCTGACGGGATGCCGCCGATTACTCATGTGTGTCCCATTCTTCATCCTTTGCTGCGTGCGTTGCCATTCTCCTCCATGCCATCTACTACTTTCCCGCCATTTGGTTTTCCCCCATCTGTTTTCCCGACCATTTGGTTTCCCGCCATCTGGTTTCCCGCCATCTGGTTTCCCGGCATCTAGTTTCCCGCCATCTTGTTTCCCCCCCTCTGTTTTCCCGACCATCTGTTTTCCCGACCATCTGTTTTCCCGACCATCTGTTTTCCCGGCCCTCTGTATTCCCGGCCGTCTGTTTTCCCGGGAATCTGGTTTCCCGCCATCTGGTTTCCCGGCCATCTGCTGCGTTTCCGGCGGCTTCCTGCCGGCCATCTTTTTCCCGCCAACGTTCACATCGGTGACATCCTCCTGCCTGCCAACTGCGTCCTAATCTCCTTTTGTGCCTATCTGTCGTCCTCTGCCATCCTCTCCTCTCTTCTTTGCCAGCCATCCTCCGTCCGTCTCCTCCCCGCCGGCTTCGTTTGTCAGGTAGTTTTTTCAACCGTGTTCTCTCTTCTGCGTTATTCTCCCGCAGAAAAGAGAACACGGTCAGAAAAAGCTGTCACCTTCCTCTCGCTGTCTTGTCTGGCAGCTTTGTTCTCATCATTCGTTGAAGTCCTTGTTCTTTGTTATCTCTCCCTCGTCGTTCCTCTTTTCGCGCCATCTTCTCTCGCTTGCATGTCTCCCGCTTTCCTCTCTTTTTCTGTTCTCCTTCTGCTACCTCTGATTTTGATCAGTGCTTTCCCTTTCTCCCGCCACATTTCCGTCTCCCGCCATATCCTGGGATATCCTTTCACGTTCTCCCCTCTCCCGCCATTTCCTGTGAGTGTCTCTCTCTCCTCTCGCCCGGCGACCTGCCTCAATCTTCTCTCTCAGTTCTTGTTAGTCCCTCTGCTTGCTCGTTCGGTACGACTTCGGTAGTCGATCGGTGGTGTTGATAGAATGCACACCGTTTTCTTCTGTTTATCTCATTTCTAAAAAACGTTTTGTTTTTCCTTTCTCAACCTCGAGGTTTCGCAACCCTCCCCCCCGCTCCCGCCTCCGTGGCTTTAACCCCCAGCCTGACGGCTCGTAAATTACAAGCTTTGGCTTTTCTTTCTCCCCTCGAATTCTGTTGCGCTGGCACTATGATCAAGGAAGGGCATTCACACTGGAAGTTTCCGGGCCGCATCTAGCCAAGATCCGAGGTAGGTGCATTCTAACTGGTTCTTAGTGGGCGACTTTTGACGTTTGGATTCTCTAGCGGTTCTCTAGCGATGGTGCTTTTGACGTTCACCTCAAGGAAACGAAGATAAAAAAGAACCTGAGCAAATAACAGTTTTTTTCTTTCCCCTTCTCCCCCCATTTGCTTCAGAAATTGCAAAATCGTCTTCAGCTGAACGGCTTCAGCGTCGTCTCAAGGTGTGTAGTTTTCAATGACATCAGCGATCAACTTCACAAGAGGTTTTAGGGCTGTGATAACGCTGAACGGATTTCGAAATTTCGAAACACAACAAACGAAATGCAATAGGGGGAAATGAAAAATAGCAAGGCAAAAAAAAAAAAAAAAAAGCAAGGCAATTTTTTTCAGATTGTACCCAATTTAAATGGCTTCAGTTTATAGGAGGAAGGTTGAATGGGAGGAAAAAAAAAAAGAAAAAGGGAAGCCAAAAATTCCGAACTAGTCGTCAACTTTTAATGGGTTCAGTGTGGGTAAGGTTGCATAGGAGGATATAATAAATTCATATAATAAGTCGCTGGGGGGGCGGCGGGGGGAAGAACGGGGAAAGCAGTTGCTCCAGCAAATCATAAGCTGAGCATACCAGGTATTCACAAGTCGTGATTTAGGGCATACTCAAGCTATGAGTTTTTCCAGTTTGCTGTGGACGTAATCCCGATCAGGTTCATCCATGCTGGGTTGCAAAAACAGTCGTATACGTCCAGGAAAGTCTACTAGTGTGAGTATGCCCTTACACAGCTAATGGGTTTCTTTATCTCCTCCTGAGAGACACGCAACGCACGCAGCAATCTTGACTCATACAATCCATGTATGTATGTGTGTATGAACTGATCAGAAGTTCTGTTCAATACATCACCTGGCGGATCAGCGCTCTTGATTGTCAATCAAAGAAGAAAATAAAATCGAAAAGGGTGAAATTTAGATCCACGCTAGGAGCACTGAGGTTTAATCACGTACCTTCGGACATGGTTTGTAAGTCACACAATGAACAATCGCAAGCAAACTCGATTGCAATCACGTTTGTACCTTGATGATGAGCAATTGCACAAAACGTACGTGCATGTGGTGTGGTCAACCATCCACGTACGTAGTTCACCATGCAACTCACGTTGCAACAGAAGGAATGGGAATTGACGAAGTATTGACAGAGAACCATGCAGTGTGCTATGGATGTGCATTGTGTCGGCTTCACAAAAGCATGAAATGCAAAAGCCCTTCACCCGTCGTTACTACCCCCTCGAATACCCCTCCCATCACAGAAACATGGAGTGTTGGCTGTGGGCATTCCCCCCTCCCTCCCCCCCCCTCCCCCCCCCCCCCCCCCCCCCCCCCCCCCCCCCCCCCCCCCCCCCCCCCCCCCCCCCCCCCCCGGGTTGTTTTGCCTTGGGAAGTCCATGTTCTGGTAATCTGATCAGCCTGGGAGGTTAACCATGTGGATACTCCGGACAGTAGAAAAGGATCTGTCCGCTCTTCTCATTGTCGGCTCTGGCTAGTTTGATTGGGTGCTGTCTATCCTGCAGGTGCTTGCAGTTCCCTTGACAAGACGACCACTGTTTCCTGGTTTCTTCGTTCCTGTGACAATCAAGGTAACTCTAATGCGCCAATGCAAATTCCATCTTGTTCCATCTATCCATCTATCCATCCGTCCATCTATCTAATGCATCCATCCACCCATCCAATCAATCCATCCATCCATCCATCCATCCATCCATCCATCCATCCATCCATCCAATCCATCCACCTCAGATCCATCCATTCATCCATCCCAAATCCATCCATCCGTCCATCCATCCATTCATCCATTCTCCATCCATCCATCCCTCCCTCCCTCCCTCCCTCCCTCCCTCCATTCATCCATCCAGTACAATCATCCATTCATCTAGTCCTATCATCCATCCATCTAGTTCTATCATCCATCCATCCAGTCCAATCATCCATCCATCCATCCATCCAATCCAATCGTCCATCCATCCAATCCTATCCAATCATCCATTCAATCCAATCGCCCATCCATCCAATCCTATCCAATCATCCATTCATCCATCTGTTCATCCATCCATCCATCTATCCATTGATCCATCGATCAATCCATCCATTCATCCGTCCAGTCGTCTATGCATCCGTCCGTCCATCCATCATTCCTACATAACCAGTGTATGCAATGAAATTCAAACCATTTTGTCGAATTGTTTGTGGGCATCTAGTTTTATTTATGTATTTGTGAACATATGTACGTATGTCTAATGTATTTTTGAATCTAATTTTATTTGTATTTATGAACCTATGTATGTATGTCTATTTGATTTTTGGATCTATCTATTTATGATCTGTCTTTGTATCTAGCTATGCATTTAGTTGCATATATGTGGGATGTGTTATTTGCTTTGTTTGACTGATAGGCTTTCTTTCCCTGTCAGGTTTGGTTTCCTCCTCCTTTTCTTTACCTCTTTGCCTTTTGGCTGCGTGCAAGTGGGTCCTTATGACAGACGGGGATGGGGGCAGCCAGTGCTCAACCTGTCATCCACGTGGCTGGCCTTGTACGTAAGAGGTGATGAACAGGTGGGGCTTTCGTTCCTTACTTCTTTTCCTTTTCTTGTTTTGTCTTTCTCCGCCTTAGCGCTCCGATTCACAGTGTGACAATATATATACCTATCAGTCTATCTATGAGTGCTTTGAGGTTGGATCGCCGGTCTGGCCATGCGTTGCCTTTACTGGGGAAGGATGGGAGGGTGAACTTGCTGACTTTGACCTCTGACCGCCTACCCTTGACTGTGTGCTCTTTGGATATTGTGTCTTTCGACCTATGGACGTTTTAACCAGCAGCTTAGCGTCACCTTTTCTCTGTGGCGCTTGCTATGGAATTAGCTGCGGAACTAGCCATGGAACTCGCTATGGAACTAGCTATATGGAACTAGCTCTGGAACTGGCCATGGAACTAGCTACGGAACTGGCCATGGCACTACTAGCTATGGAACTGGCCATGGAACTACTAGCTATGG